AATAATCGTGAAGCATAGGAATATTTTACATTTGATTGGGTGACCATTTTAAATGTCAGAAAGTAACATATCCTGAAAGTTAAATGAGCCAGTTAAAAATAACCTTGAATTGGGGATTTTACAGTAGACTGCTTTGTAAAACATTGCGTGATTGATTTCTGTATGGTTGGTCTGATAGGTCTTGATTTTCATTCAGCTCAGCAATAAGATGTTCCTAGTATTACACAGGCTGGTGTTTGTATGTTGGGTGTGTCAGTCAGCTTTAGGATTCTGTTACAAAATCCCGAGATCATCAACTTGAAAATAGAAAGTGTTTATTTTAGCTCCCAATTTTGGAAGGCTCAGTCCATGGTCAGCTGACTCCATTTCCTGTGAGAAGCATGTAAGTCATGGATGGCGTGGGTGCTGGAGCAGGCAGTTCACATCATGGTGGTCGGGAAGTGAAACAGAAAGAGGACAGAGCTAGGGTCCCAGGACCCCTTCCAGGGCCCAGGGTCAACAACTTTCTTCCCAGGAGCCACCACTCCCAACAGCACAATAGACTGGGGACCAAGCCTTCAACGCCTTGGCTGTTAATGGACACTTAGGATCCAAACTGTAACGGCGGGGAAGAAAAGGTGGCCTAACATGACCATCCTGTCTGTGTTTCCTTCCCTAGCGGTGATTGTCACTCAACAGAAAGCAAAGCAGAAAAGCTCAGAAAGTCCTGGAGAGGGCTACAGTACGAATTATTTGGTTGTAATTCTGTTGCAGGATGAGGGGTGCTGGTAACGGGAAGGTAAGAAGGGGTGCCAGGCAAATCACTCCCCATCCTACCTCTCCTCAAGCTCACCCCCAAAGCTAGACACACTCTGAGAAGAAGCCCCCAGCAATCCCGTGCCTGGGGAGAGAGACACTTTACTCTGATTTGTCTTCGGATCATCCCCTGTCTCTTCATCAAAGCTACTGTTACTGAAAAGGCCTCCCAGGCTCCCGCTTGGCAGGGCACACCAGCTTCACTCCACCAGCTCATTACACACGGTCTGAGAAGGCTGTGATCATCCTCTTTGAATGGATGGCCCCTTCCTTCTCCTCTCTCGGTCTTTGTTCTGTGAGTTGCAAAGGTCAGGGAAACACAAAGGCTTGGTGAGGGTCCTTGATCCCTGGGACATGTGGCAGTGGTCAGGAACCAATGTGAACACTGCTGTCAGGAGCCCAGGGGCCCCCACCATGCATATACACAAATGCACAGCTCCAGAGCTGAAGCTGTGAACCCAGCCCTGCCTATGGATGCAATCCATCTATCCCCTAATAAAGTTTGGTTCATTAAAAATTTACTTATCAGTCTTAAGTCAGGAAGTTTTATATTAAAACCAGAACCTCTGACTCCCCTTGAACAACTGGGTGACTTGGTGACTCTCAATATGTATTCCTCAAGGTGCATGGGGCCGCAGTTGAGGAATCCATGTCCCCCTCTGGCAGGGGAGTGATCTACAAAGTGTGGTCCCCATCCACAGCTTTAGTGTCACCTGAGACATTGGTAGACCTGTGTACCCTAAAAGTCCCAAGTAATAATGGAGAGTAGAATGGCGTTGCCAAAGCCTAGGGGCAGGAGTTGGGGGGTGGGTGGGGAGATGCTAATTTGACGAGTTTCTGCCAGACAGGAGGGAATTTTGTGGATCTATTGTACAAGATGGTGCCCCAGTCAATAATGATGTACTATATATTTCAAAGCTGCTAAAAGAATAGATATTAAACATTATAACTCCAAAAAAATAAGTATATGAGGGATAAATATATTAATTCATTTGGTATGCTCATTATGCAAAGTTTACATATGTCAAAATATCATGTCCTACCCTGTCGTGGTCCATTTTCTGTTGCTGTAATTGAATGCTTGACACCAGGTAATTTATAAAGAATAGAGGTTACTTAGGCTTACAGACCTTGAGCCTGTCATTAGCACCTCTCACCGAGTCTTCATGTTAACACTGCTATGGCAAAGGCAGTGTATGGTGAGCTGAGAAAGTGTGCCAGAGAGCTTGCTTTATAATGAAGCCACTCCTTCCATAACCACATCAATCCGTGAATCCATGAACAGGCTCACCTTCCTCCAGGGCAGGGTACTCAAGATCACTCCCAGAGGCCCCACCTCTCAACCTCATTAATACATCACTTGGCTGTTAAGTTTCCAACACAGGAAACCAGGACAGCACACTCAAATCATATGTACCTCAGAAGTACACATGATTATTATTGGCCACTTAAAATGTTAAATTAAAGAAAGAAGGAAACGCACACTTTCAAGCCCAGACCCACTGCACGAAAAGCTCTAGGAGTCAGGCCAGCAGATGTGTCCTGCCAGACTTCCAGGAAAATCCCACGCTTGTTGGAGCGAGGGCCACAGAGGTAGAGACTGTTATCCACACTCCCCACCACGCCCTGACAACTATCTGTGCTGCATTTACATCAGGTGCTGAGGTTGTCACCTCTGTGTGACATCTGGCTTCACAACGGCTTTGTTTTCTGTACTTTTGGCCTCTCTCCAGCTACATCCCCTCAGCCCATCTCACCTGGAACAGGTAGGACCCAAGTGTCTCATTCTCTGCACTCGTGGAGGGGTGAGGGCAGGAGGTGCAGGGCTCTGGCACACCTGCAAGCTGGGCTGTGAAGTTGTGAATCGCTCAGTCAGCATTCAAGTCTCAAGCACAGAAGACCAGGAAGGAGTGAGGGGAGGGGAGGAGGAGGGTCAGTGGCACCTAGATCACTGTCCTCACCTGCAGCCAAGTGGCTGCCTTTGTGTGAACGTGTTTCTGACATCGTCCTAAGCTGTGTTTTCACCCACTATCTCTGCTTGTGAAGTCACCCTGTCCCCACACCCTGGGCATGGCAGGGAGGCAGGGGGCTTTGGCTCCCCGGAGCCAAAGGAGTATAGCAAGACTTAGCCAGGCCTTCAACAAGCTGGTGGGTGAAATCCAAGAGAGATGTCCCCACAGGACTGTGTTGCCCTTGGCTGCCTGGTCTCAAGGCTGCCTTAGGAAACCTCGGCAAACTCTGCCCAGCAGCTTGCAGGAGGGAGCGGAGTGGGCCTGGAGCTCTTCCTGCTTAGAGGTGAGCTGCCAAGGTCCAGGATACATGGTACTGGCCTTAGAGCCCAGGCTGCCCAGAGAGATGGCTGGATCTGTCTGCCAGAGAGGGGCAGAGAAACAGCCCTGCACAGAAGTCAGGCCAAGGCCCCAGGCCCTTGCCCCATCACTGGGGCAGGAGGGTCCAGCCATGTGTGTGGTTTAACAGAGAAAGCAAAGCATGTCCTCCAACACCCACAGGACGTGGAGGAGCAGAAGAACGCAGGGTCCGGAGCTCCCGTGTCGTGGAGGAAGGCTGCCCCTGCCTCAGCTGCCCTGATCCCTTCAGTATCTCAGCAACCCTGCCAGGCCACCTCCATCGCAGGAGGACGAGGAACACAGGGAGAACCTGATCTGGGCCCTGGGGATGCAGGAATCCCAGACCCTTGCTGCCCTGGGGGGAGCTTGCATTTGTGCTGGAAAGATAATCACACTAAGGATGGAGGCTGCAGGTGGTCCTGCTTCACGGTGATGGCTCGCCTTGTGACCCGCTGGCTTCAGGAGGACGCAAATGCAATACACGTTCTGTTGAAGCCAAACTTTAGGTTTCAAATCCTGATCTTTTCCAAGACTAATGATGTGTGGGTCCCCACTACTTTAGGATGCTGGGCAGTGCCAATTCTCTTCAGCCACACAATCATGAGCACCACTCCAGCACGCTGTGCTGCTCAGTAAGAAGCTGGAAGGTTGGCTGGTTCCCTGTGCTTACAGTCTATGCCACTTTCAGAGCATAATCCCGATACAGGGTGGAGAGTAGTTGTATTATCGTAGTAGTGTGTTAGCAGCTGCAAAAGGAATAGCTGGTTTTGTATCTTGAGTTCTGTTGGGTCAGAACTCACAGGCTTATTTTACAGATAAGGATGATCAGTATTAAGGCATTTAGGCAGCCCGCATCTCGTCAAATCTAATGAGATGCACAGAAGGTCCAGCCTTCTATAAGAGAAAGGGAAGGAAAGAAAATGGAATCAGAGGACAAGGGCGAGCTCTGGCTTGCTCTGCCGTCACACACACTGCAATTCCAGGAAATACCACTCGGCATGACTGTTCCCTCTGGTCATACAATGTGCTGACCCCTCTTAGCTCCCTGAACATCTAACTCCTCAGAGTTATGGGGGTTCAAGTAGATGTCTGCATAGTCTTCCTAGGCAGGGAACTATCATCCAGATCCTCCAGGCCCTAAGGATTCCATCTGTGTCTTTTTTCCCTGATGTCCCCTCAATGGGGAATCTGCCAGGATTAGTCAAGTCCCAAGCTACAGAGGCAAAGCCTCCCAGAATGGCCATTTCCTGCCTCCCTTGGGATGTACTAGCCCTGAGACAAATAGGAAGGGGGTCAAGAAAGAAAGTCTCCGTGGTGTGAACCCTTCCTGGGTAAACACTCTCTTCCAAAACCATGTTCCCCCAGAGAAGCCACCAACTGATAGAGAGTTCTGCTCTGTGGCAAAATAGAAAGCTGGGCCACCCCTCCCTTTTTAAAAGGTGCACCTTCTAAAGAGGCATCCTTCTTCAGAGGGCCCTTGGGGTGAAAGAGCCCTCTTCACACCACACACGCAGGTCTTCAGAGAACAGGAGAGCACATTCAGCTTGCAGGGTGGCTCTTTTTCTGAACACAGTGTGTTGGCCGGGGCTGGCAGCACAGCATGGAGTGGGGCGTCCTGACCTGGGCACCTCCAGGCAGCTGCAAGGCCAGAGGGTGAGGCAGCTGATCTTGGGGTTGGGGGTTGAGCTTGGGGTTGCCTAATGGACTGTGCGGCCCACTTCATGGAAGGCAGGACAGTAGGAATTTCTCCATCAGCCAAGGTCTCCTGAGGCCTGACCTCAGTCAGGTGCGTCAAGTAGCCACATAAGCAAGCAAGCCACAATGCCTGCAGGGGACCTGGGAAGAAAGGGATGGGATTCCTGCTGGGTTCTCCTGACTCACCTGGACACAAGAGCTCCTAAACCCAGCCACTCCCTCAGGACCCGTGTCCTTACAACAAATGCACCATGTCACACACGTTCATATTTGTTGTCTGTTTTTGTGGGTTGCTGTGAGGAGCAACAGAAAGAGCTGCAACCCCGATTCGTCCCCACTCTGTAGTGCTTAGCAGCCCAGGGATGGGATGGGAGTAGCTGAAAGCCCCACTTCAGCATAATTTCCCAGTCTGAGAACACGGGCACAGTGTAGCCATTTCCCTGACTTCCTGGTAACAGTCAGGACGTGCAAGTTCTCCATCTCAGTCCAACCCTTCCACTTTACAAGTAGAAACATCGAAGCTTGGAGAAATTAGGCAATGCACTGCAGCCACACAGCTTCGGCTCACTGAACGCACAGCTTCTCCCACCCGGTCCACCCTGCTGCAGACCCCTGTTCAGAGAGACTCACCAAATTAGCGCACGTTAGATGGAGAAAGACGTGCAGGGATTTACTGGTCTCATTAAGGCGTTTACACGTGTTTTAAATTTCCTTTCCTGGAGCCCAGGGGAAGACTGCTAGAGCAGCCTCGCAGTCAGCAGCTGCGGACACAGATCATTTCGTGGGAGCCTCACTCAAAAATTCTCCTTGTCAAAAGGATCCTCTGTTCTGCTTTGGCTCTGCCTGGAGGGGAGAGGGCTGTGCTCTGGGCCATCCCCGCCCTGGCCCAGGGCTACCAGCCACCCTCCTGTTTGAGGAACCGTCTCTAGTCCCACCCATGTGTATGGTAGGGTCCGCAGAGCCAGCCCCCAGTACCTTCCATGGGTGGCCCCCAGGGGCTTCTGTTGCATTTCTTTCCTGTACTAAAACTTTTGGCTTCTTTCAGGGCCACTGTTAGGGCCAGGGAATGCTGGGGAAAGCAGGTGAAGATGCAGTTAGGCCGTCTCCACAGGCCTGTCGGAGATAATTAGACAGCTTCAGAAATTTGCTAAGATTCATCTCCACCCCCAGGAAATGACTGGGTGATTTCTAGAGACAACTTTCCTGGCTGGAAGCCGCAAAGGGGCAGAGAGCCCCTGAGCAGGTTACTTCAGAATACATTTTATTGCCATACTGGTGATTGAACCCACCTTCTCACTGACCTTCCTCCTCAGCCCCTCAAAAAATTATTAATTTAGCGACAAGCTCTTGCAAAATCTCTAAATTACCCAAGCTGAGTTTGAATTTGTAGTCCTCCTGCCTCAGCCTCCCAGAGTGCTAAGATTACAGACACCACGCCAAGGGTTTTAGAATCTCAATAAAGGATGTACTGGGCAGCAGTCCAGACGCCAGGGGGCGCTCTGCTCTTCATGCAAGACTGAGGGAACTTGTCCTGTCTTACTGGGGGTGCCGAGAGCTTAGGGCAGCTGAGCAGCCTAGGGTTGGACCCCAGCCCAAGCCTGAGCCGCAGGAGCAGCCACCTTTCAGGTCCCAGCCCCTGAGCCCTGTGCGGGTGCAGCAGGAGTGGAAAGAATGTCAGATTTCTCAACAGAAAATGGAAATCCTGATTTTATGTAAAATCTCAGGAATTGTATTAAAATCCTGGTGTCTATTTTAATTTACTCACAACATTATATGCCAGCCAAACAAAATACTTCTGCTGGCTGGGCGTGGCCAGAGGCCAACTGTCTATGGCTCTGCCAACACCTTTGTCAAAAGGAGCTGGCTGTCAAAGGCAGTCTCTGCCATGGCCACACATGTGACAAACTGCCCAGGGCACAGAGACAAGCATAGCAAACAGGAGGACTTTTTGGTGAGGAGGCCCAACCTGGTCTGGGGACCATGCTTGGTTGGGAGCTTTTGTTTATTCTTTCAACAAATATTCCCTGTCTGTTGTGTCCCAGGCCCTGGGGCAGAAGGCTGCATTCATTTCCTGTCACCCTTGTATCGAGTTACTGTAGAGCAGGAGGCTTACACCAGCGGAGTTGTGTTTTTTCACAGTTCTGGTGACCAGAAGTCAGAAACCAGCGTCCTGGGCCAGTGTCAAGGTGTCGGCTGAGCCGAGCTTCTCCGGAGACTCTGAGAACCTACTTCTGCCTCCAGCTGCTGGCGGCTGCCAGCACTCTTTGATCAGCGGCTGCGTCACTCCAGTTGCTCCAGACTCTGTGGTCAAGCTGCCTTCTCTTCTGAGTGTCCCAGCTTCCTCTGCCTCTGCCTTAGAAGGGTATTTGGGATGTGGTTTAGGACACTAGTATTTAATCCTAGCTAATCTGTTCATTGCAAGATTCTTTTCATCGCATCTGCAAAAGCCCTTTCTCCTGAAAGGCTCCAGGTGGGACCATCAACCTCTCCATCTCAGCTCACAAAGAACAAAATGGGTCGGTCTCTGTCTTCTAGATCTGATTTTCTAGTAACGGAAGCAGAAAAAAGCACAAAAGCCATGAATACGTAACAAATGTCAAACTATGAAAGTGCTGGGAAGAATAATCCAGGTCCTTTGGGCCCTGTCCCCCCAAACCTCCAGGACACTCCATGGCACTGGAGAGGAGCCTGGGCCCTCTAGGCTGCCTGTTCCTCCAGTCCAGCAGGCAGAGCTCAGGGGCCCCCTGGCTGCATCTCTCTGCGCCTTGGCTGACTTCCTTTGCAAACAGTTGTTGCTGTCCATTCCCCACTCAGAGGGGGACAAAGTGCATGACAGGAAGGAGGAGCAGGAAGAGCAGGCTCCTCTGAGGCCCACCTGCAGGTCTGAGTTAATCCCTGGGGACTTCCCCCAACCCCACCCCTGTTCAGCACCACTGCTAAGACTGCTCTTCTCACATGGGTGTGCTTCTGGGATTCCAGTCCTGTCTGTCACCAAGCAGGTACCAGGGAGGCACAGTGGGTTTCCTTCTTGCCAAAAGAGGACTCCTCTCCTGATGGGAGGGCCTGCCAGCCATTGTGTGAACCCTCCCCCTGCAGAAAAAGGCTCACCCCAGCTTCCCTCTTCACCTGGTGCAGCTGCTGGGTCAGGAGACCAGACACACTCCCTTGGGGAGGACTGGTGTTAGCAGTCTCAGAGGGCCAGCTGGCAAGGTCTGCAATGCCAAGGTCGCCGATGCAAAAGGTCACCAGTGCATTTCATCAGTGACATGCTGTCTCCATCTGTATGCTCTCCCCTGCCAGCCACATGCATCACCATCCCTCAGTTTCAGAAGAGGTTTTCCCTTGTGAATGAAAGAGGAAACTGAGGCATTCCCACTGGCACCCGGATTTAAAGGCAATTTGTAAATCAAATCCCCCCAAGCGTACCCACATCCATCTGCCTCTCTCTGATGTCTCCAGCTATTGGGAAACTCAGGAAAGGCAGCTCAGGGCTTCCCCGGCTCTGGGAGCAGCAGGGAGCCGGAGGATTCTCCCTCTTGCCCCTAGCTGCATGGGTGGACCGGGCAAGTCAAGTGCGTGGTATCTCCGTTGTGAAATGATGGGGCAATCAGGCCTGTTTCCTTTCTTTCCTCTCGAGGTGAGAGCTGTCTGGGCAAGTCCTCAGAAGCCAGAGAAGAGCTTTGAACTCCAGAATAGACAGGCTGAAAGGGGATGCAGAAGCTCCCTCTCACATCCCAGCGCCAGTTTAGTTTGCAGGACAGGCCCTAGCCCCTGAGACACCCTGGAAAACAGAGAATTAGACTTGGATTACTAAGTGCCTGGCTACAGTACCTGGAAGCATCTAGCCTGGTGGCTGCCGGAAGAGAGGGGTCTGAGTTATGCTGGTTACATCACCAACCAGCCGTGAGACCAAGTGCTCCTGGGGGTTCAGTATCCCCACGCCAAAGATGAGAATAGCAGTACCTCTTTCTTATGAACATTTAATATAATTCCAGTATTGTCTCCAACACATCCTAGGTATTAAATTAAGTGGGAAACTGTCTGTTGCTATTGTTGCAAAGTCCTCCAGGCCAGCCTACCTTGCAGGCTGGAACTTTTTGAAAGCAATACGGTGACAATGAAATATGTGTGAGTATCAAATGTTAGTAGTTGATCCCCAAACATACACTGTTGGGGTCACCAGCCCGCTGTGGCTGAATGCCTGGCTTCTGGCCAGAAAATGTGGAGGAAATGACATGCACCAGCTCCAGGCCACTGTGCACATCTGCATGACCCCCCATGAGAGGACCAGAGAGGGCAGAACATGGAGCAGACAGATCCCTGATCTCCGAGTCACCACCAGGCTGGATCAGTGCCGTGGGGAAAAGAAATGCCCAGGGCTTGAAGGCTAGAGTCAGCCCTCTGTGAACCGCAGATCAGACACATCATGCTGTCTGTTTTTGTGTGGTCTTTAGATGTCAGCTCAAAATAAATTGTGCTGTGTGTGTGTGTGCGCGCGCGCATATGTGGGGAGGGGTACTGGGGGTTGAACCCAGGGCCATCACACTGAGCTACAAATCCACCTCTTTTTAACTTTATTTCTCACCAAATTGCTACACAGGCCAAGCTGCATTTAAACCTGGTGTTCTCTCTCCAGAACCCTGGGACTTCACACTTTTATACATTTTTAAGAATAATTTGCTGATATCCACACAACAAGTCTGACTGCAGCCCGGTCACACCCACTGGTGTGCTCACACCTGCCGCTGCCTTCACACACAGAGTTGCACAGTTGCTACAGTGACTGTTTGGCCAAGGAGACCTCAGTTCCTCCTACCTGACTCTTGCAGATGATTACCAACCTCTTTTCCGTAAGCAGGACTGGGGATTACAGCATTTGTTATAGAAGTGAGCTTACCCTGACTAACACAATTAAGAGATTCTTTTTCCCCTAAAGGAATATGATAAATATTTTTAAGCTTTGGAGATGTATGGCAAGATTGTCTTTTTCAAGGATTATGCTAATTTATTCTCCTGCCAAGACCTGTGGATGGGGACAATTTTCCTACTTCATCAACCCTGGGCCTACAACATAACCCAATCTCATTTGGTGATTATACTCTTGTATAAGGAGCTGGGGGAGGAACCAAAATTAAATAAACTGTGAACCCAGTAAGTTCCTAAGAAATGTTAGTACAGTACCCCTCATCCAGTGGTCGCCTGAAACTGTTTATAGCACCAAAACCTACATATACTCTGTTTTTACACACATATGAAAAATGATCAGAAAATGAATATTTAAATGTAAATTTTAGTGAACACTTAAATTTTCAAAACATTACAGTAAAAGTCACATTGCCATTTGTCTCCCTGAAAACACTCTTATCCCATTGTTCTTGGCAATGTGTCTTTTCCTATGATGAGTTTCTTTTCATTTAAATGTTCACAGAGTTTTTTGATCACCCCTTACACATTCCTATGATAAACTTTTATAAAGTAGGCACAGAAAGAGATGAACAAGAATAATTAATAATGACACAAAACAACTATAACCATTTAGTATAGTAAAAGTTATCTAAGACTTAAGAGCTGTTCGTTTTTGAAATTTCCCATGTCACATTCTTAGACCATGGTTGACCAAAGATAACTGGAACCACAGAAAGCGAAACTGAAGCAAAGAAGAGACTATTACGTGGATCTTCAGGAGACACACGCTCCTCCTCATGCCTTCTCAGGTCTTAGCATGGGACGCAGGGTTCTGTGGCAAGGCCGCCACCCTCTCCTGGCGTGTGCACTGGTCCAACTCTCCTCCGTTACCTGGGTCTCCTGGGCTCACCCTGACCTTGCAGGAAGTGGGAAGCAACCAGATGAGGGAGGGAGCAAAAGCCCTGGGGATTTGCCAGGAACGATACAGGCCGCCGATCTGTACCCAGTACCCGGAGAATGCGGAAACCCAACTGCAAATTGGCACAGCCCTGCGAAACACAAAGAGCCCTCTGTCTTCTTTGAAGATTCGACTGGTGAGATGCCAGGCAGAGCTCAGGAAGAAGTGGCACAGGGACCAGAACACCTGAGTTCCAGGACGCTTGCCGGTCAGGAACTGATGTAAGGAAGAATGCTATTTTTGGAACCACATAAATGTAAAGGACAGAGGTCGTAGATGGAAATTCTATCGGGCTACAACCAGCGATCTTGGGAAAATAAAACGGAGAAAGAGGGCAGGGCCAGCTCTTGCTACCCATGATGGCCAAGTATTAACTAGGTCAGTAATCTGGGAGCCTCTTGCTAAATTGTTGGTAATTTAAATTTGCCCACGGTAGAAGTATTTACATCCAGAAATTGGCAAAAACCACAGATTAGGGCTTATGATTTCCTTCAGAGATCAGTACATATAACTAGATGTAGCAAGGAGAGAAATGAGAAGGAAAGAATTTACTAAGAATGGAGCTAAAGACCCAGTAGGGAAAAAGCATCAACTCAGAGGACAAAAAGCACAAAAAAGAAGCACAATGGCCCTAGGAAGTTGGGAGCTTTCGCTCAGGAAAAGCATTCAGGTGTGGCCCAGACAGGCCAAGCAACTTAATCAAAGTCACACAGCTAATAAATGTCAAGAGTTGGAATTCTAACCCAGGTATGTCCAGTAATGATGACTTGTTTTGTTTTGTATTTAGACTCTCAATAATTGATTCAATGGGATGTGTGAAAATGTCTTCAGGATTTGTTTTATAAATCACTCAAAAAACTCCTAATCCACAGGTTACAATCAGGCCTTGCTTTTGACTTGGTTGCCAATGGTTTTGTTTCACAAACGAAATACACCTCAAAGGACCCAAATGAACTAGCGTTAAGCATTTTCTGTGTGACTAATTCTGGATGCAGAATCCTGGAAGCCAATTTCAAAGGTTGGTTTGGAGAATGCTTTGGCCTTATCTCTGGAAAAATGAGTAACTTTTTCAAGGGTCCAAAAGAAACATTTCTTAGGAGTTAATAATCCTGGTACAGTCACCAAATCCAGGGGTACATTGGTGACTCTGAAGGAAAGGCCTGTCCTTGGAGTCTGGGCCCCTGCTGGCACCGAGAGGGAGACTGGGGTTGCTGGAGACAAGCCAAGCCTCCACATTCCTGTTGCCCGACAGGCACTTTTGCAGACAAGTGACCTACCTCCATTTAGCCAGTCAGGCCAAATACAAAATCTTGAGCTTCAGAAATCCTTTCCAGTTTTACCTAAGGACTCTGGGCCTCATCTGAAGTCAGGCTTCAACATCAATAACCAGGAACTGTAAGGAATGATTCATGCAAACAGCACGTTTATTGAGTTTTGAAATAGCCCATAGACTTCTGTCCGTGTAAAACTCATTGTACCTCCCTTTCAGAATTCAGAGTCCTCAAAGCAGCTTAGTCCTGAATGTTGGCTCATTCCAGCCTGTGCTGGCGGTTTTGTTTGTTGATTGGAGGACAAGGAAACCCTCGATATCAATACCGTCAGCTGTGTCTCTGGGCGGAGGCTTCGGCTAACTTGATTTGACTGTGTATGGTTCGTCACAGTTGGGCAGGGCCTTTGGCCGAGGTTTATTGGGGCAATCAGTCCTCAGAAGGATAGTGCAAAAATATCTATGAAATAAAATCAGGAGCCATCTTCTTCCATTCTACCAACAAGCTGCAGAACACCTGGAAGACACTTCAGGGCACAGCGTGTAGTGCTGCCCCTGCCCAGCTGCAAGGTGGGAGCATCTTCGCTGTGGACACGGTGGGCCGGGGAATCTGGCCGCCACAGCCAGGGGGCACTGTGCCAGTGTGAAGGGGATAATTGGTCTGGAATTACCCTCCTCTTGTGTCTAATCCTAGATAAGGCTGAGACAGGTTAACAATGCTATTTACATATTGAGACTGTTTCAATCATTTGTAGATACTCATCTCTTCTGGGACGTCCATGAATATCTCTGTGTCATTGAGACACAGATCTTGGCTCTGCCCATGAAAGGATTAGTCACTTATGTAAACAGGGATACAAACGGCTTGAGGAAATAGATTCTGTGAGACTCAAAACGGGATTACCAAGAACTGAAGCAGCTCACTGGGAGAAGCAGTCACACCAGGGCCTCCCACCCACCTCTCCGCTCCCACCAGCATTGTGGACAATGAACAATAGAGAAGACACTCAGCCTGAGCCACTGACAGCTCCTCTTCCCAGCCAGCCAGCTCAGCATCGCTCACCCCCACTTCCCCCTCCTCCATTCATTCCTTAATCTCACCCACTGCCAGTTCCCACCCCACCATGACACTTTCCGCAGGGGACTCCTCAACCTCTTCTCTAAGTCTTCTCTTAACTGGAACCTGGATTTATGCTTCCCTGAGCACCCCATTTCTCCCAAGGTCTCCCCCACCACCACCACCACAAGGATCGGGCACTGGAGTAAAGCAAAGCTGGGACTGGTCTTGGAGGAAGATGGAGCTCCCCACCACTGCCCCCTACTGGGTCCTCCCCACCAACCCTCGTCTCTCAAAAGAGCTAAGCACCAGCTCACGTGATGACTGACCTCCACCCCAGAGTCCGGCCAGGTCCTGACCGCCTCTCCACCAAGACCTCTTCTTCCCCTCTCCGTCCGCTCCACTCCTATGGTCTCAGCCCTGCTGCTGTTGCTTCCAGTGCCCAGATCTGAGGTCAGCCTCCAGCACTGCCTCGTGGCCACTGTACCTGTACTTCCATCTCCCTGACCCAATGCCTACTGCTACTATCCATTCTCTCCAGCCCCCCTTCATCGAGATGACCTTTCACACCCTTGGCTGGGCCCAGCCTCAAGGGGTCCCCACTATTTGCACTCTGCATATGTTTGTTTTACCAGAGAAACTCTTTCAACCAGGCTAACTGTTTTCCCCTGAGTCCATTAGAGGGAGGCTTAGCAGACCCCAGCACTGCTCAGCCTCTGACTCTGTCTACTTAGCAGTGATTTCTCTGCTCCCTGCACAATCCCATGCTCTCTTCCGTCCCACATGCCACCCTCAGGATGCCCTCCCCTTCTATTCCATGGGTGACCCCTT